GGTGAAGAGGGCAAACTCTCAGTGTGCTGCCAATGTTAACAGCAGCAAGAAAATAAAATAATTTGATTTTTAAAGGGGAATACAAGTTTGTACATAACAGCTAGCTCACAGACTGTTCCTCAAAAACAGTATATAGTATCCTAATTTTACAAAAGCGTGTGCAAAATTCTGCATGACCCCAGACATGTTCCAATGCACACATATGCACTCGCTCATGCCCCACTGAACTTTTGACCTGGTTGTAGCTGAACCCCTCCTGAGTCCACTGCTGTGTGATGCCGTGTAGATTTGAAAAGAGGAGCCCTGTGCCTTGTCAGGCAACTGCATCTGCTGAAGCCAGCATGGGGGCTTGGTGTTCAACACCGCCCTTCCCATAACAATACCCAGAGCCTGGCCTGATGGATGCACTTCTTTATCTGAGCCAACCAGCTTCATAAACCCACTCCCCTTCTCCAGCCTCTCATCATGCAATGGTCCAGGAAAAAGAAAACAAAACATCTGCTTCCCAGGTTTCTGACACGTACAGCTGCTGATGGCAGCCCACATCTGGAAGCTTCACTGTTTTTCAGTTCAGTAAGTACAGGGCAAGAGGTTTGCATTTAAAAAGAAACACAAAAGAGCTCAGATGTATCACTGTACCAAAATCACAGAGAGCTTTCCAAGAATTATCAAGCAATAAGGCTACCTCTTCCTCCCATCCTTCCCTGTACTCCAATTAAAGATGATATACAAAGGGGAAAAATTTGCCTGTGTCTGATTTTACTTTTTATTATGATGAATAAAGACATTAAAAAAAAACAGGAAAAAAAGACTTTAATGTTAGAAATTCAGATTTTGTCTACCCAGGAAACTTTATGCTGACTGGAAAACTAGTGAAATCTAACATTGCAAGAGACTTTGGCCTTGGCTACACTGGCAATTCACAGTGCTGCACTTGCTGCGCTCAGGGGTGTGAAAAAACCCCCCCCCCCTGAGCGCAGCGAGTGCAGCGCTGTAAAGTGCCAGTGTAATCAGTGCCTGCAGCGCTGCACGCTCTCTCGCAGCACTGCAAGCTATTCCCCGCGGAGAGGTGGAGTACTTGCAGCGGCAGCGCTGTGAATCCGCGAGTGTAGCCAAGGCCTGAAACCCAGCAATTAAGAAAGGAAGGTATTTAAAAAATAAAAACACAGAATTAGAACTTGTCTACACTTTAACTATGCCACTACAGTCAAAGCAGGAAAACTTTAAGCTGCAAATCTCCCCTTAGTGTAGACAGTCATAAAGATGTTTATACTGGTATAATTTATACTGGTTGAGAAACCAAATTAAGCTATATCGATGTAAAGAACCTTATATTGCATCTAACTGCATCTGCACAAGGGCTTTTAGTGACAGGATCATGTCAACAAAAAAAATATACCCATCACTGAAATATGCAGGCCAATAAAACTTTAAGTGTGGACTAACCCTTAATTTCAGATTGTTTGCTTGTTTATTTTTTGATAACACCTGTTTATAAACACTAGTGTCCTATGATCACTTGGAAGAAAGGATCTCTTTGTGGAAAAGTGCACACCAGTGCCCCTTCAATTAAGGCGAGAGACCAAAATATACATGTCAGAGACACTCCTCCACACCCCATAATGTCCTTCAGAAAAACCGAGGGAAAACCAGACTGGATATGTATAATATTTCTAAGGTTAGAAACAAGCACACTGCTGAGAGATGTTAAGCCGATCTAACCCCCCCGTGTAGACGGTTACTGCCTCTTGTGGATGTGGATTAACTATGGTGACCAGATAACCCCTCCTGTTCCTGTAGTGATGTTTACACTGAAGCGCTACAATGTCGCAGCTGCAGTCCAGCCACTGCAGCATTTTTAGTGAAGACAGAAGACACTCCTTCCCAATTTCTTTCCAGGTGATATTAGCTTCCCCACCCTAAGCAAGTTCTAGGAACTGATGTGCTTCACTGGTGAGGCAAGCCAGATGCCAATTGCCTGCTAAGCTGAAATGCTAGTGCGTTGGCTTTTTGTCATTGTAAATTTAGGTTCCTTGGAAGACTTCACAAGGCTGGACCAAAGAGCCTCCCCACCCCTTTAGTGTTTTGCATCAATAGGAGGGGGAGGGGAGTTCTCTTTCCAAAGGAGTTGCATCACTGAGAGACCTTCTCCCCTTTCAAGATTTCACACTGCATACGGGATTCCCCCTCTTCAGAAATTCACATCCTGCTCAAGGAGTTTTGCCCTTTAAGAATTCACACATCCTGTTGAACCTTAAGCATCTCTGGAAAGGGGCCTTTCGAATTCACATTCATGGGGCAATTACTGTCTTAAAAAAACACTCACCGGCTTACTGTTCTCTCAGTTTACTGCCAATATGCTACCAAGATAGCATTTAGAAGCAAACAGAAAAAAATTCTTACTGTGCCAAACGCTGCAGCATTTACCACCCAAAATACAAAATATTTACAAGACACTGCCCACAACCATACATATATTTCTGAAAATATATTTCAATTTAGAAAATAGTGCACTGCAGAGAGACAACGTGCTTGTGGCACTCCATTCAGATCACTCCAGAAATTATTTGGAAGTTGCACAATGAACATAAATGTTCCCCTAATGCATCCATCTACCCCAACAGGATTTCTCAACGTTTCAAATCATGAAAACAGGCATCATCCACCATTAAGTTAAAACATCCAACATCCCCCACTACGACCCCACCAAAAAGAAAAAACTGTCCAGGCAGGAAGACTCTTACCCTTTTAGCAGAAGAGGCCAAACACAACTTAAAATTAATGCTGCATACTTTCTTGCGCAAAAACATTTCAACAAAACATACCTAACTGTATTCAACTTATGCTCATTTCTGCCTAACTCCAACCCCATCCATGGTCTTCTTGTATGTCTACAGCCAAGGGTGACACTAGTCAGTGTAGGTCACTGCAGGACAAGCTCCTCCTATCACAACCACCATTTTGGGCAGTGACTGGGGAAGGGAACACATTTTATATTCTGAAAAGCACTGTGCAAGTTTCCAACACTAGCACTATATTTTATAATAGCAAACCAGATGATAAAATCCCAGTGTTATGATAATTTATTTGATAGATCAGTATGTGAGGGTAGTTGCTGACCCTAAATATCTTGGTTTCCTATGAGATCTCAAGCTGTTTCTCTCAATTTCTTTAATATGCCCTTTCCATTCACTCTAATATTTTTCCTCACTACCATATTGCACCATTGCACTTTTTCACCAAGCAGCTCCCCCTTCCCCCAGCCATCTACTCTATTTTACTCATGCATCCTTCCCACAAAACCCTCAGAAGTCATCTTTGCTACTTGGCAAAACCTCTGCTTTTGATGTACACTTTAAAGTTTGAAAAAGCATCAGAGAAACACCAAAGTTGTTACATCTGTTACAAACAGATGGAAAACCCCAGGTTTAATCACATTGGTCTAAGCAGCTTATGATCTTGGGAGTAAAAGCTAGAGGCCCTGGAAGATCTACTGGGGTACACCCTTCATTCCTCCCTTCTTTTCATCTCCTTATTCTCCACATTTCATGAATTCTGAAACACACACAAATTCACACACTTAATCTATAGTTTACAATACTAAGGCAGCAAGTGGTACTGCATTTCAAACGTTTATGGACACTGGGCAAAAACAAACAAACAATTTAAAGACTACATCAAAATAACTTAAAACTTAATTTCTAAACAAAAGTAAGAATAGCCATGAATATACTGGTAAAGAGCTAGCCAAAAAAGGAAAGCAGAACTCGCATTGCAATTTGCTTCTACAACAGAGAATTATTTTTTTTCTTTCTGTAACTAAGACTGTAGCAATTGACTCGATAGTTTGCAGTGCTATACTCAGACGCACTGATGGACAAAAATCATCATCACCATTACTTGTTCCAAACCCTTAAGGTGATTTGCCGACATTTGGAGTTGTCTCAACACGACACCCTCCAAAACAACACCTCTCCCCACAACAAGCTAAGCCCGTAAGGGAAGCGTGAGACGGGAATAGCTAACACACAACCAGCCTCTGTAGCCTAGACCCTTCTGTCTTGAGTTCAATTGTCACAAAGCCTTGGGGCAGTGGCACCTCCACGCACAGCCGGGGAGAAGCCAAGCTCCCCTCCCCTCCCCGGTCCCCGCAGGGATAATGGTGGCACAACAACAAACTCCAAGCCAGCCGTCCGAGGGGACACCAGACTCACTCACAGCGGCAGGGCCGGGGAGGGGGGTGGGAGGAGAGAGATTAGGAGGGTACAGTCCGGATCTTTCGCCTTAGACTGTGTGGGGAGGGGAAGCAATCTCCCTCCGCAGGGGTCTGTGCTCATGGCGAGCAGGCAGCCACATGCCTGGCATCAATCAGCAGCCCCTGGGGAAGGTGGGCACCCAGGCAGCTCCCGGCTCTAGTCTGCCCCGAAGTTTGTCGCGGGGGGCGGGTTGGGCGGCCCGGGAGCAGACGCGGCTCTAGGTCTGTCTAGAACGGGCCGAAGCGAAGCGGGATCTAGCCAGTCCCCAGGACTTGGGGGCAGTTCAGATCCGGATCCAGGCTTGGCATCGCCGGTCTCCCGGGGCTGCAGGAACCGGCTCCAGCCAGACACTCCTGGGGCAAAGTCTCCGCCAAAGAAATTTCCCCATGTGCACGGGATGCCCAGCAAGGATCCGGCTTCAACCCCCTGGCACGGAGCAGGGACCAAGCCCGGGCTGCGGGGAGCGGGCGGCGGCTTTCCCCAGGGCAGAGGAGCCGCTCCCTAAACAACCCACGCAGCCCGAGAGCAGACAGTGAGAGACCGCGAGGGAGTTCCCCGCCCAGCCCCCCAGGACCTCGGGCAGCGGCTCCTTCTCAACCCCGAGACCAGGCGGGGAAGGCAGAGCAGCTGCCCGGGAACACGGGGCTGCGGCGCGGGCAGGGTTCCTGCTCCGGGGCAGCCCCGTGGAGGGGGAGGGGGATGCGGTACCATCGGGTCCCCGGACCGCTCCCCTCCGCGGCTCACCTCTATCTCGAAGTCGGGCAGACGGAAAGCGGTGCGGAAGAGGGAGCAGAAGTGAGCGATGGCCGGGACTTCCCACCAGGAGCGGAGCTCGCCCAGCCCCTCCGGCCCCCCGGTCCCCACCACGCCGCAGCCTCCGTCCTCCTCCGGGCACATCTCCCGCTCCGTCTCCGCGCTCCGCTCAGCAGCAGCAGCCCAGCACCAGCGGCGGCCCCGCGCTGCCCCCTCGCCTGCGCATGGGGCTCCGGGCTGGCGCCTCGGCTCGGGGGTCTCTAGGGCCGGCGGTGGCGCTGCTGCCCCTGCTGCACGGGGGGGAGCTGCTGCTGGCGGCCGCCGCGCGGACCCATCCTCCTCCTCCTCCTCGCGCCGCCGCCGCTGCTGCCCTCTCCATACAATGTAACCATCGCACCGCCGGGGAAACAGATGGGGCCGGGGGGAGGGGAGGGGGCTTCGGAGGAGGGGGGGCGAGGGGCGTGGCCTACGGAATGGGGTGGTGCTTAAAGGGAGGGGGTGGGGCCACCTGGAGAAAGGGGGCGTGGTCTGAGTGGGGCGCGGCCGGGGACTGGGAGATAGCGGGGCCGGAGGGGCGTGGTCTGGGGAGTGGACAAAAGAGGGACGGGGCGCTCCGGGAGAGGAGATGGGGCGAAGCTAGGGGCGGCCGAGCGAGTTAGAGGCAGGGAGGGGGCGGGGCTTGGGGAGCAAAGGGGCCGGCGATGCGGGGGCCGCGCACGAGGAGGGGGCGGGGCCAGGCTCTCATCACAACAACAGGAGCCGGCTCGTTGCCCGCCGTGGCTCCGCCGAGAGGCGCAGGCACCAGTGCTCGGGGGGGCGGGCGCGCTCGGACCACCCCCCCGTGGTGCTGCGCCCTGAGGGGTAGCGGCTCGCTGTTCAGTGGGGCGGGCTCGCAGTGGCTGGGGAGTTGCGGGGGGAGGGTTCTGGAAGCTGGCCGGGGCTGGGGTGCTGTTGGGGGCTGCCCAAGGGCGCGGGGGAGCAGGCGTCTGGAGTTTCTGGGCTGGGGAGCCAGGGGTGCTGAAGGCTAAGCTGTGATTTAGGAAGTGGCAGAGCACATGGGTGATGCAGCTGGTGCCGGTGCGGGGGAGGAGGTCAGAGCGGCATCATGTAGGAGAGGACTAGTCAGTATTGGTCATACCAAGTGTTCAGAAATCAGGAATCAGTCTTCAAAAGAAATCATTACTTTAACAAATCTGTGAAGGGGTGGGAGAGTCTATATTTTGGGTCTTGAGCTTTTAGGGTGCACTTGGGTTCATGTTTTCAGGCTTTTCTTTGCAGCCAGGCAGGCTGGGGGGGAGGTATAGCTCAGGGGTTGTGAATTCAATCTTTGAGGGGGGCCATTTAGGGATCTGGGGCAAAAATCTGTCTGGGGATTGGTCCTGCTTTGAGCAGGGGTTGGACTAGATGACCTTCTGAGGTCCCTTCCAACCCTGATATTCTATGATAGTTCTCTTCTAGTAAACCTAGATGTGCCACCTAAATCCCCATGCCACATTGCATCAGCCTTCTGCTTCACTAATGTTGCCCTGTAAATAATGTAACCCCCCCATTTAAACTAATTATCTTCAAGCTGGTGCTTGGGTGCATCAGCAGTATCTGAGACACAAGCCTGACTTAGTGCATTGGAGAAAGAGAAACATTTTCTAATATATTTTAATATTAAGCAAAAGATAGGCCAGGTGGCAATTCACTCTTCTCACCTTCCCAGTGAAATAAGCCACAGCCAGGAGCTTGCTTGCTCTCTCTCTGCAACTGGCCTACTGGGTGAGCTTGAGCAAGTCACTTCACGTCTCTGCACCTCAGTTTCCCCCTTTGTAAAATGGAGATAATGATCTTGACCTACTGATGAAAAGCACCATATAAGACCTAGATATAATTGCTACCTGCAGCATAGGTTAAAAACAGAAGTTGCACCAACTTAACTAAAGGGATGATGCATGCAATACATCAGTTTAAGCCTTACTTACATCAGTTTACAGAGGCAAGCTCAACAGATGTAAGCCATGTAGTGTTGACACACACAATTGCATGGGTTTAAGCATCATAGTTTTAGTTGAACTGGTGCAATGACTGTGTGTATAAAAGCTCTTTGGCTGGCCTTTTCTCCCCCTCCCGGCCTTTTCCTCCTTCATACTTCCACCTGGTTCTGGTCATTTTTAAAATTTCACTGTCTCCCCTTTTCCTTTATTCTGTTCAGTTTCTTGTCTCTGACCTTGTCCTCCCCATGTGCCTTACCTGACCATGCCACTTCCTGTATTGTCTTTACCTGGCTGCTCCTTCTCCCCTTCCCTTCCCATCTCCCCTCCTCTTCTGGACTGCTGCCATTGGCTGTCATGGAACCTTTGGGTTCCAACTTTCCCTCTCTCCTCTCCTACGTATGGCGTTAACCAAAAGCTGCTGTTTGAATAGCAGCAGAGAGCAAGTGACTATCGCTCTACATGTACCTCCTCATGTTTGCATAGACTAACGTGTGTAAATGTGGGAGGGTGCATTAGAAATACCTAGGGGTCAAAATGGAGAGCTTGAGGGGAAAGGTATTGGTATTCCTTCAAGTCCCGCCTACTTCACACCAAAATAAGACAATGCTCTCAGTAGATTGTGCAGGGGATCAAAATATGACCACACATGTCTGTAGGCTCTTTAGGTTTGGCTCTGCTACCCTTCAGTGGGGTTTAAATACACCCACGGTCTCCGTGGCATTCCTCAGGATTGGCTTCCTCTTGGTAGCTCTCAGATTAAGCACCTTGCTGGGCTCAGCACCTTGATTTGGGGAGGGAGGAGAGAGGGAGATTAGTGGTATCATTCAGTCAATGGTATCATCATTGGCAATTGAAATAAATAGGACAGTTCACACCTCTATTTGAGACTCTCTGCAAACTCAGGCAGATGTCATCATGTCATTTTGCATTCTGTTCAAGTTTTAAAAATTTTCTTTTCAACCATAATAGCTAGACACATAAGCTTTGTTTTACAATGAAAGCTGAGACATTGGAGAAAAAGAAGGCAGCTTGAGAGACATGCTGGTACACTGTACCACTGCATATTTGACCCAAGTGAAGCCTCAGAAATACCTTAGAGAACACAGAGGCTGTTTAGTTCAGAGAGGAGGCAAATAAGAGGACATGGTAGAGCAGAGATTTTCAAACTATGGAGTGTGCCCCCCATATGGGGTCATGGAGGAACATTGGGGGGGCAAGCGGAAACACCAGGCAGCTCATGCCAATCCTGCATGATGGGGGCAGGGAAGGAGTGCTAGCTCCACCCTCTGACTCACCTCAGTGGGCCACCCAGCCTGTGGGTCAGTGTCAACATTTGCATGGCCGTGCCGATTTCCACTCCCGACAACCTCCATGCCTAGTGCTGGCTACACCCCAAGAGACCATGGCATACTCCTTCCCCCACCCTGAAAACCTGATGGGGGAGGGGCAGAGGGGCAGGTATTGGCCCTGCCCTAATGGTGCAACCTCACTGCGAAGTAGAAGCAGCTCATTGCTGAAGAAGCCTTGGCTGTACCAATAGTAAGTATCTGTGTATTTGAAAGTTACAGATGTAGGCAATTTAATTAAAGTTGTATTAAGGTCTCTGTTAGGTTTATGTAAGCTATCAAGCATACTTTTACACGTGTCTGTTTTTCTCTGGGTTGGGGCAGTGCAACCAAAATTGTAACTGTGGGCGGGGGTTCAGCTGAAAAAGTTTGAAAACCTCTGTGGCAGAGCTATATAAAATAATGAATGGTCTAGAAGAGAAGGCAAACTGTGAGCCCCTGTTTACCCTTTTTCATACTAGATCATCAAGGAACATCCAATGAAACTGAAAGGTAGCAAATTTAAAATGACAAAAGGAAATAGTTTACACCATGCATAATTAACATATGGCATTCATTACCATAAGGTATCATTGAGGCAAAGAGATTAGTAGGATTTCAAAAAGGATTAGACATTTATATGGATATTGAGAACATTTACGGTTACTTCTTTAGACACGATAAAAATAAATTTTAGAAAGGATGTAAACCCTTAGGCTTCAGGGCATAAAATAACCACTAAACTAATGGTTGTGGATTAGGGAGGAAGGTCCCTCATGCAGAGTGTTCTATAATTGTCCAGGGTTTCTTGCACCTCCCTTTGAAGGATCAGGTAGTGGCAACTGTCCAGAGAGGATACTGGATTAGAGGGACCACTGGTCTGATCTGGTATGCTAATTCCTATGTATTTATGTGGATAAGGACTATGAATGTCACTACTGAAATGGGGCAGTGATGTGGATAAATGGTGTTACATGTTTTACAGTGTTACAAGAGCTAGCATCAGGCATTCCTCAGACACAGACCTCATTCTCATTTGTTGTAAATTTCACACCCGCCGCAGAGATTTCCCAGGCACTCTTTTGCTCCCTACCTTGCCAAGATGCCTGCCTAGATACATACTGTTTCTCAGTTTATTATTTATCTTTCTAAGTACAGTCTTTGTGTCTATTCTCCCCAGAACTGTACATGAGTTACTTAAAAAAAAACCTGTCCTTTGACAGGCAATCTATTATTTACATGAGACCAAAATGTTAGTGGCAGGATCATTTCAGCCTTTTTCAATAAGGACTCTAAGACTCTGTACTGAGCAGGGAGGCTGCTGCTCTCTTGTGTATTGTATCTGCCTGTGCTGGATTAATCCAGCTCCAGCTATCCTATGGTCAGTGCAGAGGGAGGAGGTTGCAGGCTTGCAGCCTAGCAAATAGCGTTTTAACAACACACAAGAGCAGCGCAAAATACAATAACTGTGTGTGAGAAATTTCAGGGTGACAAGGCCTCTGTGAACCCTATAAGATTATTTGTCTTCTAAATTAGGTCTGATTTCTTCTTAGAACTCTTTCTTGATCCTGTTGCCATATAGCGTAGTTTATTTTGTATGTACATTTCCCTCTGTACTGACATTCCTTCTTGAATTCCTGTAGTGTCCGGCTGTGGCTTATCTTATTGTCGCATCTCCCCTTGTTCTTGACACTAGGTCAAACAGCTTTGTACCATCCCAGCTCTCTATCCCATTAAGAATTTTGTGAATCTTAATGAAGTCTCCTAATCTCTCCTTTTCAAAAGAGCTACAGTCCTAATTTCTCTTAAAATTTTTAGATTAATTTGGCTCCCTCTATCGTCCCAGTTACTTATGGTGAACCCATTCTGTTGCTATAATGTTATTTTTATATGAAGGTGCCTGGAACTGCCCACAGCAGTGTATGTACTGACAGACTCTCAAGCTGTTCTTGAATCACTTTTTTAGATGTGTTATATTAAACACAAATGCCTGTGCGCTCACAGATTTGATTTGCCTTTTTCCTGCTGTTGTGCACAGTGCAAAGACGGCAGTTCCTCTTTGTCCTTGTCTACCCCCTACATGCGTGCACACCTCATCTGTGTTTTCCTGCAAATACTCAGTGTTCCAATCTC